GGCAGGAGGAATGAATTATAAAAGAAATATATCAGGCTGGCATCAGACTTCTCCTCCACAAAATTGAAGACCAGAAGATAAGGAGAGAACTTCTAGCGGTTGAGTTGGGAGGAAGGGGAAGAGTGTGCCCCTAGAACCTCATGCCCACAACTAAGTTTACATCAAACTAGATAGACACACACTCAAACCTGCAGAGGCTCACTAAGTGTGGAACCAAAGTACTCTGCCTGAGAAATTCACTCAGCATTACATTCTAGACTGTCATCTTCTAGGACTCTATGCACTGTCCCATACAATAGTCACCATGGCTACTGAGCAGCCGAAATGTAGCTGGTGCAACTGAGGGACCAAATTTTTTGTTTTATTTAACTTTAGTTAATTTAAATTTAAATAGCCACATGTAACTAGTGTCTACTATATTGGCACAGTCTAAATATCTAAGAAATAAAGAGTTCAAGAATGAAAAAGCCATGGTACAAAAAGTAAGCAATGAATAAGTTAAACAGGAAAAAAATATTATGATAGCTATGGTTTTAAAACATTATGCAAATGTCAAAAAATAATTCTTGCAATTTAATATACATAATAAAAGCATTAATAATTCTCTGAATCTAAAATCTCAGATTATATCAGCAATTTCACATTTCACACTGGAAGAAAGAGCCAAAAGATACTGTTTCATTCTTAATGTTGCTAATGAGAGGGACATGGTTCTTTTTTTTTTTTTCAAGCCATAAGAGTATAACTACCAGTGGCATAAAACCAGGATGTATAACTTCTAAATTACTCAAAAGAAAAAAAAAAGTTTAATGATCTAAGAAAATGCTCAGGAGACCATTACAAGTGAAAAACTGTACGTGGAAAAATCAGTATACAAAACTATACACACAATATGTCCCAACTTTTAAAGTACGTACATATAATAAAAACTGAAAGAACAACATGGAAATTTACAATGTTAACTATGGATGACTGTATATCATTGTTTGTTTTCTAAATTTTCTACAAAGAGCATTATTACTTTTATAATCAGAAAAATTTAACACAAAAGAGAAACAGAAGAATGGTCAAATCACACTTGCCACAGAGTTGGAGTTTTACTATATTGAAAAGGATTTTATGGTTGGCTGCATCAACCAATACAAATCTGGAGAACAATCTGGAAGGAAATGATTAATGACTGCTTCTTTCCAAGGAAGTTTAAAAATAAGTAACCATAGGCATATCAGAATCAGCATTAACGCAGCAATTGCTACTCACTGCAGCCAGGCTGTGGATGTTATTTTGGCTTAAATCCATATTCCAAGCAGGATTTAGGTACCTTGTAGGTAGCTGGAAGCTATTAGCTATTAGGGTAAAGTCAGCAGGCCCCATTCCATCACACAGGACACGTTGTGAACCGAAGAAACATTTATTCTACTTCCTTCATACTTGCCTCTTGTGTTTCTGACTTCAAAAGTGGGGCCAGAGAAACAAGGAAGAAACTGATTATGTTTATATCTGTGGAACAAAGATTATGCAAACTGCCAGCACTCCCCTCTTTTTGTTTTCAGCGTGGTTATCACAAAACAAAAACAAAAAGATAACTTCTACATCTGAAGCCCGATTATTTGAAAACAGACCTGAATATGTCCTCCTCTTTCAATAAGGCAGTAGATGCCCTTCATTTTACTTATCTGTAAGATACTTATTTGCTGATATGGGACTAGTTACTATTTCTACATGAGAGCCTGACAGAGCCTATCTGAGGAAACCGCTTCCTGAGTTACTCTAGAAGTCTGTCACTACTTTAACATTTGCCAAAAATCCAAGAAAGCATAAAAAAAAAAAGTCCCCACCTTTCACATACCCCCAGAGCTAACAAGAGAAAAACATAATCACAACCCTGGTTAATGGCCCTTCAGCACTCTGATCCCTCCAAGCTTCTGCAGTATTTGTCTTTTGTTTGTTTCTTTTTCTCCTTATTGGTTGTTTTTTCCTGGTTACAAAAGTAATACATGGTCATTGTGACAATTAAAACAACATGAAGATTCATGAAATAAAATTAATAACCTCCCCCTCCCCCACCCTCTCACTCCCCTCCCAAGGAAACCAATGTTAACAGCTTGGTGTATATTCTTTCTTACTTCTTCCTAGGCTTACACAAACATATATAATATATGGGGGAGGGTGTTTTTTGTTTTCAAACAAAAATGAGATATTATATATACTATTGTGCTCCCGGCTTTTTAGTCTTAAAAGTGTTATGGACACTTTCCAAGCCAAGAAACACAGATCCATCACATCCTTCTTAATGGCGGCAAAGTATTCCAGAAGATGGATAATTCATTCAGACCATCACCCCACCTTTCTCAACTCATGGACATTTAGGATGGAGCCTTGTACATATACTTCATGTCCCTTAATTTCAGTAACACAGATTCCTAGAAATGGGGTTTCTGGGTCAAATGAGACATTTTTAAATGTTTAAAAATTTATCCTTAGACAAAATTAATTTTAGACCTTCAGAATTTCTGTTCCTTTCTTCATTATGCAAAATATTGGCATAAACCTTTCACAATGCTTTGCATATTTTATTTTTAAAAGCACACACATTATGTCAAAAAATGCCCCTGTCAGTTATGCTTGTAGTTATAAATTTAAAAATGCTTAAGTTATGGCTGTGATGGCCAGCGTTAAATCACTGTGCAAATGCTCGTGCCTTAGTTTATGAAAGTAGTAATTCATTGTGGAAACTCCACCCCCACGGCCATGTGGCAGCACTAAAGAGGCAGCTCTCTCATCCTGTGACTCCCTCCACTGAGTGACAATATAGAGATCAGGACCTACATATTTTCTAATTGTCAACAGTTAACCTTAAAAAGTGTGTGGGGGAGGAGACAAGTAAACAGCAACAGACAATAAACTGATAGTCATTATGGGTTTCTAATATCCACAAATTATTTGCAGTACAATGAATAATTCTGTTGGTCTACACCACAGACTGTATTCCATAAAAAACAAAACCTATAACCAATACGTTGCTATGATTACATGAACCTTTCAAAAACATATTCTTCAAACACTTTTCAATAGAATTATTGGTCGAATCCCATCTTTACATTTTTTTCCTCTGCTTCAGATTCACTCTAATCGCAAACTTTAAGAAAAGGCCTTAAAGAAATACATTAACCAACCAACAAAGCTCATGAAAATTTAATCTCAGACTCCTCTATATATTCTAAAGACCCAAGAACCTACAGACATTGTTAAGACACAGCAAGTTTGATACAGAAGTATGTGACATGCAATTAATCTCCATTTATACCCTGCTCCACTTGTCAGCAAACAAAGGTTCTGCTTTAGAAGGAGATCTGAAGACTTCAATTAAAAACAGTCAGCTAACAAGAAAATAATCTAAGCTAAAGGAAGGTGGCAGGTGCAGAAATGAGTTGTTTACCAAAGTGTCAGTTTTGAACAATAAAGAACTGCACATCAAAAATGTTGAAGGAGTGGATTTCATTGCAAGCCTCTGGAAAGAAAAAGGAATCTTCTACCAAGGCTGCACACAAAACGGTAGTATAGTTTAACAAGCTTGTAAAATAGGTTTCCTCTCACCAAATGACAGATACCAATAAAAAGAATCACGTTATATCTTTAAATGCAAGGGCAGAATTACACTTTTTGCCAGTTCCTTCTCTTCTGGAAACGAGACACTTACAGCCTCTCTTTACATATCAAATATTGAACCAATAGCAGAAGGAAAAGTTGGATTGCTTCTTCCTAGACACCCAGATGATGCTCTTTTACCCCGTAAATACTTTTCTCCTCTGGAAGTTTAGATTTACTCAGGTCATAAGTAAAATGGATTTTGGAAACTTCACCTCAAAAGAAATACCTAGTTGACAGCTTTTACATAGAAGCAATCCAGAATGGAAACAGTGCTACAAACAGAGACCAAAAGGACTTGCCAAATATTTGATTAGGAGGCATTTATACCAAGATAACAAGGTAATGGAGATATAAAACCAATTAAATTGAGAGAAACTGAAAAAAATATTGCTTGCCAAAAGTATGACCTGCCCAAAGCAGGCCATCTGTTAAATATGTGTCAAAAATGTCACTTAGATGCCAAAAGGCTTAATTCTGAGCAGCTTCCTCCCGGGACCCTTATGCAAGCACAGATTCCAAGTCTCTGTCCTTCCCAGAAGGTCAGTTACAGGAAAGCAAGTTACTTTCACCAGAAAAAGTGTGAACCGAGCAGATGATATTGCCCATTAGCTAAAAGTCTCTTTGGAGTGTCAGAAGAATGTGTGGATTGTCAGTGAGCATGGCCTTAACTCTTAAAAGGAGTGCTTAGGCACTGTAGTTTGAAGGTGAACACACCACAGTGGGGCACTTCTAGAAAAGTAAGAAATGTAGTACTGAGTATCAGCCTGCCCTGGGTGGATAACAAGACCCTAGAAGTCTTCCGGCTGGTGACACAGGCGTGGGGTGTCGGCGCTGACAACTCACAACTACCCCCAGGCCTTGGCCCACAGGATGCCATGAGCCCCTCGCAGTCCCTCGAGAGCCTCAGGGAGCTCTAAGCAGAAGGTGAGGGTCTTCCGTGAGAGGTGGCGGGGTCAGGGCTAGGGAGGGCGGAGGGTGAAAACCCCCAGACCTAGGGGGAGTCCGGAGGAGAAAGGGACAGGCTGAAGACAGCAAGGTGGCAGAGAGGACCAGGAACCTGTCCTGAAGTTGTTCAGAAGCCAGGGAGGTTAAGTGGAACGCCCTGAGGGAAAAGAAAACGTGGAACTGAGCGGAGTGAAAGGGCCCCTGAGGCGGGAGGATGAAAGCCTGGCTTTGCAGGGTAGAAGAGTCTAGAAGCCTTGAGGTTCTAGAAGTTGGTGAGTGATGGAGCTGAAAAGACAGCCCGGCCTCGGGAGCCCCTGGCGTCTCCTTTCCTCCCTTCAGCTCAGCACTTGGGGGAGCAACCGGACGGTCGGGGAGGGGGCCTGGCCCCCGGGCAGGGGCGTTACCTTGCATGAGCCAACAGATCTCCTCCGGGAGGACGGCGGCGGCCTGCATTTGGCGGGGCGGTGGGGAGGCCGAAGTGGGAGGCGGGAGGGGGCCGTGAAGGCCTGGTGCCGAGGTCGGCGGGCGGGCAGGCGGCGGGTTGCCGGCGGAGGC